GGGGGGGCTGACCGCCTTCAAGGTCAACAAGGTTTGTGGTTGGGGGTATTGGAGGACCACATTCCCTAATAAAAGTGATGACCTGGGCTGGATGATGGTGAATGATGGTTGATGGGATTATATAACAAAGTTCCAACAAAAACACAATAATTACAGTATCATAATGATAAAGAAATTAGATATATTAATAATGATAATATAGTCACCTACATTTATTTAGTTTTTCTGCGGCAGCTGGGCCTGATTAATATGGGGGGTTTCTGACCAGCAGCACAATTATTAGGGGGATGTCACGGTGGAAATTTGGTTTTTAAATTAGTTTAGTATTGGGGGCTCGAGCTGGGCTTGATAAACATGCGGGGGTTCATTAATCCTATGTTGACATTACAGGGCAGGGTCAGGCAAAAGCAGTACACAATGAGGTGTGGATCGGACGCTTGGTTTAACTTGGTCCTTGGGCTGGTAAAGTCGACTCTTGATTTACAAGGCCCGGTCTTCAGGGTCTTTCCGCCGACCATGGGACCGCCAGGTCTTTCACCTTCAAAAAGGTGCGGTTGTGCGTTTTGCACCCGCGCGCAGAGATTTTCCTCGCGGCAAGGGGCGCGGCTGGCCGCTGAAGCGGAAGCGCATGAAAAGAACCGGGAGAAGCATGACATGGACACATGACCCGCAATTTGGGGTGTTTTCTAGGATTGAGACGTGCAGACCTAGCCATAACCCCAATATAGGTTTTTTGTTTATTTGTCTATTTTTTTTGCCAAAAAAGATGTAAAACACAAAACATACGTGAATAACATGTGGCACCTTTATTTTTTGTTGTAGTTTTTTTGTGCAAAAAATGTGAACACTAAACATATGTGAAAACTGTTGTAAAAGTACATGTGTTGCCTTGTAGGACTTCAAGAATAGCATGTGTTTCTACCCCTGCTTGACAGTGGTTGTATGAGATTATAGTAACAATTCAACTACAACATAATTATATAACATACAGATATACATATATATATATAGTATATACTATTTAATCTACAATGAGTGCTTGGCTGAGCTGTGCTTGACTAAGCAAGTCTCATGAGCCAACCACCTTCCAAGTGCTGCGGGTTCATCCTTTTCCTTGGGCTGTGGCCGCTTTCGCTCCCTTTATGTCTCTGGACGGATGCATGAACATACCTAGTCAGGAACGTTTGCACCATCCTTTGGAGTCCCGGTGGTGCCTGTAGACGTTTTTGCTCTTCTACTTGTTTTCCCACCCCAAATCCTGTACCCGGCGAGCCGGAGCCTAAGCCGGCGGAGAGCCTAAACCGCACGGGCCCCCAAAAACGATCCCAAGTTGGACTCTCAGGGATTGGTCTGGGTCTTGTTGAAGGACAGCTGCAGTTTTTCAATGTAGACTCTTGATTGATTGATAACTCCCCGTTAGTATGAGGTGTTTCAATTCAAATGGGGGTGGATTTATGAATCAGTCTACATTACGATTGCTTGAGATGGCCAACTTGTCTTTTCGCTTCTGCTGATCGATCACACCACTAGGCCCACTGCCAAAGGCGCGGTGGTTTCACCTGTGGTTTCTCCGGTGGTTTCTGGCGCCTCGTCTCCTCCGCTCCAAGATTTGAATAAGCCAACGTGGATCGATGCATCGGGTGTTCCACCATCCTCCATTCCCCAAACATGTCCATGTCGAAGCTGAGAAAGGACCTTATGGTTTGCCCATCAGACTTTTGGCGGTGCAGTGCGATGCCAATCACGGGAACCCAGGTGGCCCAGGAGCTGGAACTTTTCTTCAGGAATTGTCTGACAGATTTGGGAGGATTTTCTGGGGGAATTTCGGGACACTGCCCGGCGTAGTGCATTTCACCAACAATCGACCAATCAACCAAGTGCTTTCGATCCTTTTTCACCTTAGATTCGGTCCTTCGATCCTTAAAAGTACATCCTCTCTGGGAGCAGACCGAAGCGGAAGCAGAACGAAGATGCTGGTTGGATCATGTTGGATCTGGTGCCAGGGCCGATCACTTTTGGATGTTCTCCACACGGATAGGTGCGGTGCATGTGCAGGTCATGTGCTTGGTCTTTTTGCTCGGTGCTTGTCGGCCTCGGCAGGTCCTTGAATCCAACCAATGAGCGGCATGTGGTTGGCGTGGGAAAACTAATCAAGAAAGTAGACCAGCATTCTGGTCAGCTGTTTTTGGCTACAGCTGCTACAGCTGTGGCTGTCGTGCTTCTTGTGATTGTTTCTGTAAGCAGAGTGCCGTGGCATTTTGCGTTGCGTGAGGGGCACTTCCGGGCTCAAAAGGTAAATTTCAAGCTTAGCTCACCATGTCCCGCGCGTTTTCTCTCGCCCTCCTGGCAGCTGCCTTCGGCGCTGTGGCCTTCATCGGCAGCCCCAAGCGTGTGGACAGCAGCTCTACTGCCATGCGTGCCGGAGAGATTGGGGACCCCACCCGCAGCGCTGGCCTTCTTGAGCACCTTGGCCAGTTTTATTGGTTGAGCTGTTCTGATATATT